AGCATATGCTCCCTGTGTTGGCCAGTAGAGAGGAGGACATTTCAATAAACATACTCTTAACACCCTCGGACTCTGCGTTGTGTTTCGTATGTGTGATGGGGTGTTATGCAGGGGGGAGGAAAACGGGACACAGCAGATTGGGATTGTGGTGGAGATGCTGAGCAGTTATTTAATTGTTGCATGTAATTATTATTATACTGCGTGCTTCTGAGTTATTCCATCTTTTGCTGTAACATGGATCTGTATGTAACTCTATATTTACTTGTTATCTACCACACTTCCTTCTACATCATACACCATCATTATACATGATGGTGTATATAGGATATATATATTCGTATACATATCTGTAAATTGTATTATTTTATTTAAACGTCTTTTTGATCTCTCAAACTGAGTAAGATTGACAATAAAGTTGACTTTGAAAAATATATATATTCTTTATGAAAATAGTTGACTGTTGTCAAATGAATCCAAATGAAACGTTGGACTGAACTACAACTACGCCTTTAATTCTCTACGGACTGTTTTTCAGTGGGATGGCAAGTTCCTATCTTTAAACATTTATTAGTTTTTTCTCAGAACAGATTTGATTTTCTGAAGTTAATTTAACTTTGCCGACCATGTAAGGTCATTATTAAAAAGGTACAATCAATTTGTTTAGGGTTGACTAAAATAATGAAAAACATTCATTTGGATAATTTACTGACAGAATAAGAAACTCAATGATGCTCTACTCACCTGTTCCCTTTTTATAAAGTGAAACAGTTGAAACGATAGATTTTAGTAAACTTAAAAACAACCTTCTCCAAAAGCTATCAAGGAATATACCGAATACTTGTTTTAGAACTTTATTACATATTTTTATATAAATAGTTTGAATGATCCATAATTGACAGAAGCTTGTGTTTACACTGACCTGTTACTCATATATTAATGTCTTTGTAACTTCAGTAAACCACTACCTCACTCATTTCTTTCATTCATCACGGTTCAGTAAACTAAGTGATACAGGAACCAGTTTAATCATTATAATAACGTAGGATTGCAACTCTTTGAAACTGTAGGTGGCTCTTAAAAGAGCCGTTGTGTTTGGGTGTGCTGGTCTCAGGTCAGTCTAAGCCCTCTCTCCGCGGATGCGGCGGGCCAGCTGGATGTCCTTGGGCATGATGGGGACCCTCTTTGCTTGGTTCATCTTACTGGGGGGCAGCTACATGGATGTCGGTGCAGTCCACAATCATTGCGCAGTTGAAGGCAGAATGAATTTATTATTGACTCCGAATGAAGCACAACTTCATGTCATACAATACAATGACTTTATTTGTAATTGTGTAAACAAATATGAGCATTGATTAGCAAGCAGGACCTGCAGGAACAGAGAATGGTGATGGATGGAGCTGGGAAGAGAGAAGAATAAAGAAAACAGATCAACTTTATTATCGGATATTAAAAATTCAATTTCAAAACAAGTTGCCGCTCCTACAGTTTTCTAGTATGTAAAGATGATTTCATATGACCTATGCAAAATATCACACTCAATACATGTGTGTCTCTGGGGGGTGCATTGTGCCTTTGATGTATATAAATAATATACCATAACCAAATACTATTACGTACAGTGGAAATCAGGTTGCCAGAGCAGGTCAGTGTGCATGTTCCTCAACATCTCAGCAGTTACAGGTGAGGTAAAGACAATAAAAGAGAAAAAGGTCAGTAACAACACTTTAAAGTAACAACACTTTGAATAATTATCTCTTCTAACAATTTTCTCTCAATAAGCACAGAACGACTGTCTTTCCAACAAACAGATTGTCATCACAATGAAACACGTCCAGAAGAATGACATGCAAAGCTCCATGCCTGCCTTCGACTCTCCCTGAACTGCTTCCTTAGCACCCGGTGGAGGGCACAGTAGGCTACTCTTCAAATGTTTCACGAAATACTTACCATCATGTTTGGTTACTGTTTAACATTTTGGTTTACTTCATGTAATAAAATAATAACTTCATGGTAAGGCTACTAAAAATGACAAGGCTAAGTAATGTAATGCTAACTAACGTGCTCGCTACTCGTCGCTACTAGCTAGGTAGCTAACTTGACTATGTTCCATGCACAACATGTATATTACCTATGATATTACCTGATATGTCTGATCCAGCGACTCCTGGTCCTTTCATCAGATGGGAAGCGATAGAACGAGCAAGTGGTATGATCACTTTTGTGATTACAACCTGGTACAAAGCACACAGGCATCTTGTAAAAGTGAACCAACCACTTGGAGCATTATCGCCGGTGACATCACTTACGCGACCCAGAATGGGATTTGGGATTTGTAGTCGCGTATTTTTCATAGTCTTATATTTCAACAGTTTTACGACAAAATGTGACTTTTTTGACATGGAAATGATTGTTTAAGATTGACAAACATCATATGTGTAGTTCGTGGCACAATTCTAACGGGATCAAAAGATACGTTTTCTCTCTCCATTGAATTCAATGTATAATTTTTCGCTTCCGGGGTCCCATGGACCGGAAGTAGATGGGCGTGACTTCGCCTCTCCATTCACGTCTTTGCTCAGTGTTAACTTTCGCTCGCTGAAGAGAAAGGGATGACGGTCAGGAGGCGGGGCCTCCTTTTATACGGTTTATACGGTTTTATACGTTTTTTTTATACGGTTTTATATGGCACGCGCATTCAGGTAGGCCTACCCCGGGGCCGGCTACGTCTCTAGAAGTCTCAGTAGGTGAATGCTTGCATGATAAGGTAGTACCCATAGAGTCCAGTAGAGGGCGGAGCCTGTGAGAGATATATCCATTTTTTATACAAAAACACTTTTCTGGAGATGTCCCGCGACTATTGTCCAGGTACATATTAGTGTTAATATAATGATGCTACAACTTTCTCCTCCTAATGTTCCCTGCCACCATGGCGTATAACTAGCTCACTTAGTAATAATAATGTTTTAATTAGTCTGAGTTTATGAGACTGTCACATTGATCCTTAAACATTATTTACTGTTTCTGTTCCAGCATTGATCTGAGAGTGAATATAATGTTGGCTGACACAGGATCTGCAGCGGCCCGACACATTTCCTTTAGGGGTAACATGTTCCAGCTTCAGAATTGATACATATTTAAAAGCACAAAGTCGTAAATACAAACGAAAAAAACATCTACACCAACTTGACAACACATCCGCAAAAACCCTTTCAACAATTTTGTGAAAACTTGATTCAGAGAATATATCAGATTATTGCAATTTTCCTGGACGTTACTGTCTCAACTTCATAACTCTTAAAGAGGAAATATTCTACAAATATTCAGGTTCATATTTGTATGTAGTGTCTCTACTGGGACATGTCTCCATGCTCTAATGTTCAAAAAGCTATTTATTTTTCTCATACTGCCTGAGCTGCAGCACCTCTTTTCACCCTCTGTCTGAAACCAGAGCCCAGTCTGCTCTGATTGGTTAGCTGGTCAGCTCTGTTGTGATTGGTCAACCGCTTAGAGATGTCCCGCCCCTTAGCCTATCAGGTACAATGTGTTAGAGCGCTAGCCAATAGAAGTGTGAGTGTTACGAGGTGATGTCACGGATGTAAACAGTATGGATTACAGATTACATTACAGATGGCGCCTATTAGATTGATTTCCTTTTTGGTGCATATTATTCATACTGTAAATGGTTGTATCTTTGTAAAGAGAATTTCAACAAAGATAAAGGCATTGAAGAAGATTACTCAGCTTTATGTTGTGTGCATTATGTCAGATTAGTTTATTTGACAGGCTAATAATAAGCAAAAGGCGAACATGCAATATAATAGGAAATTAAATGAGCCAAAAAACGTAATACTCCTCCCGAACAACACTGACAGATGTCTGACATCACTAACGTCATAATCCACAAACAACAGCCTCTCCCAGCAGAGAGCATCACATGGCGTCCACGCAGGAAGTTGTGGGTTGAATTCCTCGCACAGCCGACTGTACGATGCAGAGCTGTTTTCTAGAAGCTTGTGACGTCAAAGTGATTATTTTGGGTGTCATCAAGCTGCTAAATGTTTTCTTATTGCCTGCCGTGTGTTGTCAAGTTAGTGCAGAGGTTATTTATTTTCCTTTGTGGAAAGTTACTCAGTACATTTACTCGATACTCATTTGAGGTAGCCTACTTCATTTTATGCTATACTACTAATCTAATCAATCTTGGTGCAAATATTGTACTTTGTTCACTACAATTATTCACAACACAAGTTACACGATACTTTTGCCGTTTTATTATATCAATGCAATAATAAAATCAACTAATAGGCCGACTGCATAATTAAAATGATAGGCAATAATGCATTACTATTTCAACTCCAGTGATAGGCTATTATATTATTCCAAAAATTGTAGCTTTGGATCAGGAGTAGGCCTACTTTCTGATTTGATATTTTGGTATTTTTACATAGGAACATTTTGCATGCAGGTTATTTATTTAATTTCTACACCGCGGTATTAGTACTTTTACTTAATTATAAGATCTGAGTATTCTTCTGCCTCTGTTTATTCTGCCTGTGTTCTGAGGCTGCAGCTGATGGAGATGGGTCGGGCCGTGATGCCCGTGCACCTTGTCTAGAATAAACGTGCTGATCACGGGATGTCCGCAGCGGAGCCTAGCAGCGCTGAGTCAGCAGCACTCAGGACGTCTGATACATGAGGAGAGGGCAGAGACACAAACACAGAAACACACCGGAGCATTCTCCCGTTAACCACAGACAGCAGACTATCCTTAGTTTGTCACGATAACTCAGACAGGATGCTGCTGGGACGCAGTGACAGAGATCCAGGAGGATGTTTTGGACAGTGTCCCCACACCTAGGCTATGTCCACACACACTAGTGATGCTGCAGGACAGCTGCAGACTGTTTCGTCCTCCGCGCTGTGTTCAATGACACTTGTCCCGGCCCGGTTACCTGCCGGTCCTCCTGCGGGACAGAGCGCGCTGTGGAGGGGCGTCTTACCTCAGCTGGGGGTCTCCGTGTGCTCCGGCCCTGTACAGTCCGTGTTGTGGGGCTGCTGGTCCGGATGATCGGGTCTGCAGGGTGTGTTCAGGATCTCTGCGGCACTGTGTGTGTGTGTGTGTGTTCAGGATCTCTGCAGCAGTGTGTGATGCTGCCAATAGTATGAAGCTGCAGCGTCGGAGACTGCAGTCTGATGCAGTTCACATGCACGCTCACAGCTCCTGTTACGTAGACTGCTCCTTCATAAAAAGTACAGCAACACTGAATATGATTTATTGAAACAAGTTAGTCTCAGCTGAATTCCTCGACACATCAGGACAAATGTGCCCTGATGTGTCGTGAGGAATTCATAAACTTGCCATTAACAGTGGTGGAATGCAATAAAGTAAATGTAAGTGGTAGATGTCAATGGTTAAAATCCCGGTGTTCCTTCAGAGGGAGTCTCCCCCCACCCCCGTCTGAAACGCCTCCATTTGATGTATCGCTTGCGCTTCTATTGGCCAGCACTCCAACACATTGTACGTTACAGGCTAAGGGGCAGGACATCTCTAAGCGGTTGACCAATCACAACAGAGCCAGCTAACCAATCAGAGCAGACTGGGCTCTGGTTTCAGACAGAGGGTGAAAAGAGGTGCTGCATCACAGGCAGTATGAGAAAAATAAAGAGCGTTTTGAACATTAAAACATGGAGACAAGTACCAGTAGAGACATAATAGTGGTGCCCCTTTAATATTGGGTTATTACATTACATGTGACTTATACACCTGAAGATCATCCCCTGTGGCTGTGATATTATCGGTGCTATTTTGAGATTTATTTACACTTGCATTAATGTTAATGCAGGATTTGAGTGTTGTATTTGGTGAAAAAAAGCCTGCATCCAATTATTGTCCACAACACTGCAGCTCATTAGACGTTACTTACAGTAAGTGAAAACACACCAGAACACACACACACACACACACACACACACACACACACACACACACACACACACACACACCACACACACACACACACACACACACACACACACACACACACACTACACACACACACACACACACACACACACACACACACACACACACACACACACACACACACACACACACACACACACACACACACACACACACACACACACACACACCACACACACAACACACCACCACACACACAGATGGAGAAGAGGAGAGGCTACATCTGGAAATAGCCAGACATTAAATAATTAATAAACAATAAAGCCACAGTGAATGGAATTTAGAGAGAGGGGGAGGAACACGAAAATAATTGAGACCAATGTGACATTACCCCAAAACATGCATACAGTATAACAATAATGCAGAATAAAATTATCCCTAAGAAATTCAAATATATGGAATGATATCTTAAAAATAACCATACAGATTTATGTGCCTGTGAGTTTCAGCCTTTAGTATGGAGTCAGATTTGGGTCAATATTCTAGCGCGCAAAACAAGCTACTCACGAGTGGAAAATATGCTTTTACACGCGCATGAAATGACCCTCGCAGAGAGACACCCCTTATGGAAAGCCATTTGCGCCATGATTCGCGCGAATAAACGGGGAGGTCCGTATAAGTTCAAAGTTTCAGTAACCAATCAGTGAACAGTAAAGCCAGACCAAAGCAATCTGTAGATGAAAAGTTACTGACATTGTGAGGCTGTGAATTGTACATTATTCCAGATTCATGGGACTATGTATTAATTTGCCTTTCAATATAATAAGTATATCAATCAATATAACCTGCCTTCATTGTCTTTTAAAAATAAAATCGCCTTACCTTTTTCCTAAACCCTCTGGAGTGTGAAGTGAAGGGTATTTTCTCAATTTTTAGATGTCTCCTTAAATGTACTTCTTATAACATCGCATGGTGTTACTTATCAAAATGTTCAGTCTCTGGTCTTACTAGAAACGCAAAGTCACTCACCGTAGGGCACTGTCTTATGAAATACTTAGCTTAGAGATACGATTTTTGGAAAACTTAAAAACAGTTTTTTTTGGTGTTTCAGATTTGGTTTACAAAAGTAATGAAATATATGAATTACACTATAGGCCTATATAAATGTGTTATTCATGTCTAAAATGAAAATGTGTTAATTAGAATTTGGAGTAAAATCTATCACTCTACTTTCACAACAGAAAAGTTACATCAGGACTGATTCATGACTTCATACTGAGGTTCATGTGATGTGTACAAATACAAATTGAGCATTACAACTTTTTTTTACAACCAACTATTTATGTTAACATAAGAAACTGTAAAATCTCAATATACAGGGTTCATACACTTTTTCACCAATGATTTTTAATGACTTTTCCGTGACCAAAAAAAATTACTATTTCATGTGGCTAGCATGCGCTGCCTGCCCATATTCGAAATATTGAATATGTTACAACACAGTTTGCATTTAGCACGTCTTGGGTCAATGTCTTTTGATAACCACAAGTGGTACTTATCCTTTAGAAGCCATACATTGTTGAAACTGCACTTCCTTAGCATCTTGGCAGCTTTATATCAAATAGTAGCTCCTGTAGACTAGAGGGCGTGATTGTAAACATCTCTCACCAGCGAAATACTGCCACAGTTGCCATTTTACGTTTCATTATACGATACAGTATTTATTATCATTATAGTATTACTATTTCGGCGATTAGATAACATATCAATTATATTTGATGCAACTTTAGTTATATTTCCATGACTTTTCCAACACCTTGGGAAAAATATTGCATTCCATGACTTTTCCAGGTTTTTAATGACTGTACGAATCCTGACAATATCAGAACTTTCTCAACCAACTATTCATTATAAATGTAAAGACAGGGGGAGCAGTGCCATGGTCTTTGTCTGTCTTCCAAGACAGTGGGTCTGGCTGCTGTGTAGATGGGGGTGATGGTGCATCGGCTGCTGGTGGCTGTGTCGGAGGGAGGGAGGTGTGCTAGGCGAGACTTCTTTGCTGGCTGGGTTGATCGTGATGGCTGTGGTGGAGGCCTTTGTACCGAGGTGTATCTTAATCTTGTGGCAGGCACAGATGGAGGCTGCTGTAGTGATGCTGGTCCTCTGGTCCTTGGTGGTGATGGCTCTGGTGAAGGCCCTTGAGCCACGGTAGATCTTGACCTGGGTGCAGGCACAGATGGAGGTTCTTGCTGCTAGGCCCAGGCAGCTGTGAAATCGGAAAGAAATATAAGACAATAATTACTACTAAGTTCATTAAAATAGAGTTCAAGTGGAGTGTTTCTCAAGCACAAATAACAATGCACAACTAAAAATAAAATGGGGAGGTGGGACAGGAGTCTCTCTCTCTTACAACCTATTTAACTATGTTACACCCACACAATGAAAGTACACTATTACTGTAATATTTACCTATCTTCAAATGGATCCTTGTTGTTGTTGCTGTATTCTCCAGGTTCTGATGCTCCATCTCCACTGCTGCTAGTGTTACAAGTCCGCTGTGCAGAGCTGGTAATCAGATAATAAGCCTCAGTGTTTCCCACAGATATGAAATATACTTGGGCGGGTGGTGGCAAGGGGGCAGGGTGCGCGAAAAAAAAAGAAAAGTTTTAACAACATTATTTATTGACTTTTCATTCCGGTATAATCATTTTGCGCAAAGATGGCACTGTTTGTCAGAGCACTTCATCCTTCTGGGATTTCATGAAGAACAGCTCCAACGCCTGTGTGTATGGGAATGCCTCTGGTGCTGGTCCATTAACTGCCAGTGTTTCCGAACAGATCTGAAATATACTTTGGGGGGTGGTGGTAGCGGGGGGGGTTGAGGTGACGTGCAACAACATTAACCTTTCTGTTGGTCGCTTGTTAGCAGACCCTTCACGCGATGGCAGAGCGAACAGGTACAGGTACAGGCAGGGTCCATAATAATAGCCCTATAGTTTAAATCTACTACCCACACATGTACATATGGAAATGGATTACTATTTAAAAAAATAAATGTATTTATTAATGTATTTAGGAACCTATCCATGTGATTTTTAGTGGGGTTCGACCTCAAATCCTCTAGGGGGGTCCAGGGGCATGCCCCCCCGGTAAGATTTTATTTTTTATTTTGGAGTTAAATGCATCAATCTGGTGCATTTTGAGGGGAAAATAAAGAGACTAGATCTATGGAAACACCTATATTTAACAGAACTGTATACATTTCAATAATCATAAAATCAAGGCCATAACCAATAACATACCATTTCCAATATGAAAAAAACACTGAAACTTGTTTATTAATTTAGTTTTGGTTCATTTATAGTTGTGAGTGTGTCTGTGCTCCTGAATCAGCCTCTCCTGTCTCCATCCTCTCCCCCTGATCCTCTTTGAGGCAGCAGCAAAGACTAGTTTTCTCTCAACAAGTTTTAAAAGTGTATCTTACCTTTTTTCACCTAGTTAACTTTTTATTTATTTATTCATGCATATTTTACTAATCACATTACATTTCATTTAGCTGACGCTTTTATCCAAAGCGACTTATAATGACCGATTACAGGGACATTCTCCCTGGAGTAACTAAGGGCTAAGTGCCTTACTCAAGGGCACACTAGTGGTGGTGTTCCTGTCGGGATTTGAACTCACAGCCTTCCGATCTTCAGCCCACCTCACTATCCATTAGACCAGGCATCCTCAAACTACGGACTCCGGTCCGGATCCGGACCGAACCACCACTGTCTCCGGACTCTGAGCAAATTATACTTTTTATATGTATTATCTCTGTATTATATGTGAGACATCGCCACAACGCATTCGCAACGAGTCAAAATTCTCCTCTATGTCCACTGCAAACAGCGCTCTGCATGTCTGACTGTTCCACTGTGTTCCACCTGTGTGTGTCAACGCTTTGGTCCAATCACATTCAGCATCCAGTCAGCGTTTTTTCCCCCCAAACAATCTGCGAATCAGAGGCACAGTAGGGCGGGTCTTCGCGGAATGCGGGTGGGAAACATGTGTGTGTCTCTTTCAACCTGTCTAAGTCAGAGCGAGAATTAAAAAAAAAAAATTCAGAGCGAGAGTTAACAGCTCATCTAGTTCCATCTGTACTGTAGCTAGTAGCCTTGTTTCACCTACTGGGGTGGTAACTGACACCCTAAAAATAGGCCTTGCCACTCCAGCTGCCACCCCAGTTGGCAGCTTTGTTTTGAAAGAAAAGTTGTGGCTCATCGGACATTTATGAGAGAAAGTCTCTAATGTCCGAGTGCAAGTGAATGCAGCACAAGATGCACATCATGTAACCCCTCCCCCGGTCCTGGCGCGAGCGTGGACATACGATTGGCGGCGATTTCATTTTGAACTGGACGGCGCAAAACGAGAAGCATTCGGACCCAAGCACTGAAGGAATGAGGTATTTGCGGTCTACAATGACAGAGAAGAGACTGTCAGTTTGTCTGTACTCAGCATTGAATCAAAACGCACTA